TGCTCACAAGAGCAGAGTTGCACCATCCCCTACCTCACAATCAGAGTGCCACACTGTTCTAATGCTGTTCAATAGTATTCCAAGACAGCAGTTCCCTACCACAAAAAATCAACTTAAGTGCATGCTGCAACTTGGACATCCTTGTCCCGCGAGGTGTTAATTTAAACCATGACCACTGGATGACATGTCAGGGCACTCACAGTCTGACATACAATGTCAATATCTATCACACAAAGAAGGGAATGGCGGCTTAAGGTATGCAACTCAGGGCAGAGGAACAGGATCCAAAACAGCACCAGAACTCAGGAAAAGTGGAGGACTGACTGAAAAATCCAGGATGCTCCACCTATGCGTAGCTTGCAGCCATATAACAAATCCCTCCCACACAGGCCAAAATGTGCTGTTTTCTCTCAGCCAAAAGGCAAATGCTGTTTTTGTAACAGAGAGGAGGGGAAGGAGGAGGAGCTAACAGGCAGCCAGGATTCAAGCAGCAAAACTTGTGCTGTGAGGAAACAGGCCCACTCGATGGGCAGGACGTGTCTGGCTACATTCCAAGCAGAAAGAAGATTGCTTGATCAACATGTGCCTGACTGTTGGCCTGGGTCTGAGCTGAAGAACAGTTTGAAGAACCAAAGCAAATAGAAAAAAAATGATGCAGCTCTTCCAGCTGTCTTTCTCTCAACCCTGTTTTGATTAGGAGGCTCACTACTCTTCAACCCTTCATTGGTTGCACATATGAACTATTTATCACTTTTTGGAATCAAAGTCCTAGTAGCAGCCTTCAGAGAGCATAGTTAAGGGACTATCCATTAATTCTATTGGATTTACAGCAAATTAGTTTCATATTGTATATGGTGAGAAACTGGAATTCAGCAATGTATACAAGTCTAACCAAGTTGAGTGAGATTAACCATGCATGATTAGAGCAAGACTACATGTTTAGTTTGGGCAATAAAATCAACATTCTTCTAATTAATTGAAGCAAACTCTGCAAAAGAATTTAAAAAAATGTAACAGCAAAATAAAAGTCTGGTTGGCTAGGATGTAAGGAGGTTTATTAGTACCTTTTTGCAAAAACAAAACTTATTTATACTTGCATTAAAAGAGATTAATCTATGTTTAGATCTGTGTACATGCTAAAACTTTAAAGGAAGCAGATTGAATGGAATGAATGTGCAATTCTCTGTGCTGCAGGAAAGGTTGGATGACTCAAGGTAAAAACCCATGGAATTACATAGTTCCTTCCTCTACAACTGCTGCCTGATTATGTACATCTATTTTCAAAGAGGTTCTGCACCATGCAGCAAGTTTTTCTGTAGCTGCTATGATAAGAAAACCTTTAGCTCAAAACCAGTGTGAGCAAGAGGTGTCTTTGTACACAGGCACTTCCTGTTTTCATTCCATGATCAAATATGTTCTTTGCAGGGCAAATAGGGGAGCACTTGAGGGAGGAAAGCAGAGATGTCTGAGAGGCTAATTGAGTGTACTAAAGGGCTGTTTGGCATGGAGGGGAAAAAGGAGTTTTCCAAGGCTATAAATAAAGGCTGCATGGGTCAGATTTCTTGCTGTTCCTTTTATTTAACTATCTTTGAAGTTGAATAACAACAGCCTTAATGTCAGGTTTACCTTTCTGATATCATAATCTTTATGCACTACTGAAAAGCTTATACTACCAGGCTAGGATTTCCTTTACCCACTCAAATACTGGATATTATCCAGAAAAAGCATGCACATTTACAAGCAATTCATCCTCAGATCCTTTCATCTGCCTGTACCATTGTAATACCAAACATGAGGCAGATCCCAGTTGCAGAATGAGAATATGACAGAACTACCACGAAAGCACTGGAGATTTCTGTCAACAAAACCTTTATGCGTAGCCTATTTTCAGTATTCTATTTTTAGAAACTGTTCCAAAATTTAAATAGTGGGAAAGTAATACATACAATTATGAAACAGCATTATGAAAGACAGAGCCACTGGGTCAAATTAATTCATGAAGAGTTGTCATCTAAGTTCAAAAAGCCACTTAAGTAAATACAAAGAAGCAAACCCTAAGCTAAACTATATTACCTTTCTGTAAAATATTTACTGCTTGAAAACATTTTTCTAAATAAACATAATTAATTTGAAGTAAATAGCTTTCCCAGACAAAAATGTCTTAGCTTCATTTGAAGAAAAAATGCCTTGCCTCCTAAGCAAAGCAGAGGTTAATGATTTTTGTCATATTGAAACTAACAACTAACAATTGTTACAGTTGGCCTTTAGTATTTTTTATTTGTTCTTTTGAGGTATTCAGAAGAGGTGACAATAGCTTGCAGTTGAGAATATATGCAGAGAGACCCCTGTGGGTTATGGAAAAGTTGTTCCATGCTGGTTGGGTGTTTGAAAAAAAAAATACAACCAGAGTTCTTTTATGTTCCTTTCATTAATGAGAATGCATGAATGTCAAAATGCACCAATAGGCTATTCAAGGAGCAAAGCCTTAGCAGCCCCTTCTTTAAGAACACATCCTGAGATGTAAAATACATTTGCTTAACAAATTAAAATAATGAGATAATTCAATTAGTTTCTTTAAAAAAAGAATGTGAAAAAGGGTACATTGTAGGAGCATTGTATTACAAGACCAGGTCATGGAGCACAAAAGGGTGGACAAACTTATTTGAAATAAAGTTAGAGTAGCAGTGAAGGAAAATGTGTTAAAATTAGTGGTTCTTTTAAGAGACATTTATCTGAAATTATATTTATCCATTACAGTTTATCTTTATGACTGGGCCAGTGTTGTATTTTGAAGGGGGAAAAAACAGCTAGCTTGAGAAGCAACAAGAATAAAGGACTATTTAAATAAAGAGTTCTTTCCTTTCTCTGCATGTGTTTATGACAAAAAATCTTTTTTGAATTTTCACTACACTAGTCGGAGGTCTCCATTATCAGTCCTCAGGTCTGAGAATTACAGCACAGTAAATCTTTCAACACCTACAAACTCATTAAAATCTAGATGTCAAAGGAACTTGTTTTAAGCATATGCAAGGACCATCCTCATCAAAGCTACTGAATTTCCGTAATTCATCTGATGGGAGGTGGAGGGCAGAAATTTCAAGAAGGGCAGAATCTCAAGAAGTCTAAAACCAGGAAGACCTTATTCAAGATACACAGGTTACAAATTATTCTTCTGGCAAGCATTCATGGAATACTTCCCACACATTCTTTTAGAAGGAAAAGGCAATGACAGAAATCCATGGAGATATGGAGAACATAGTAAGAGTGAAAGAAATTAACATGCAAGATTATATGAAATAAACTGGATTATTCATAGCCTTAAGTTTTTTTTCACTGTCATTGATTGTGCTGCTCTTCTAACCACTTCCTTCAGCTAAAACAAAACAAAACAAAAACTCCCTCACACTCACTCAACTTCCAAATTAAAAACATTTTACAGGTTAGTAAATCTCCAGCTGAGGTGATGTAGCAAAGAACAGCTGTGAAGTAATTTTGATAATGATGAGAATAATAAGCACATGGCAAGGTTCAGGGCTTTGCTGTTGCAGCTTCAGTGCTCCTGAATAGATAAAAGTGATTAAATACTCCTGATTATCCCTGACCAATATGTAATGGATTTACAGCCCTTTCAATTAGTCAGTATTTGCTTAGGACTCATTATTTTGTCTTTGGTTAAGTAATCAGCCCAGAGACTCATGTTCTGTCTAATTCCTCTGAGCCAAGTGGGTACTACAGGGCATCTGACCTTTGAAATGGCCATAGCTTGAAGGCAAAAATAACCACTGTTCCAACAGAAGCACTGGCTATTCTGGCTAATCCTGACCCTACAGGCCAGATCAATGCACCTTAGTTTGCTAATAATGCTCTTACATCAAAATGATGGTCTAGAATTGTGGATCTACTGCTACCCAAACCATTCAGCTCTTCTGCCAGCAGAGCTATTCACTAGTCCCCATCACAGATAAAAGAGTTATCCAGTTCAGGAACCATGACATTGTATCAAATATCTATCACAACAGAAATGCATAATTTTAATAATTACAAATAAATCCTTATACCTGTGATGATTATATATAAGCATTAGCCAAAAGAAAATAGAAGGAAAAGTGAGGTAATTTTACCATTTACACTGTAAATTAAAAGAGCTACCATCTTTGGCAAAAATGTATTTTGATGCCTAGATAAAGCTCTAATCATCAACAGAATACCAACACAAAAAGCCAACTGCAAACAGGAAGATGTAGATAGATTGCTGCTAAAAGTGTTTCTTTTTCACAGGTTTAATCTTTCCCTATGTCCCCAGCCCAGGAAGCAAAATACTTAGCTCTGAAGATAATGGACCTGGAGAGTACTTTAAACAGATGCTTAATCTCTTATAGAACTGAGGAACTAGAAAAATGAAATTCTATATATTACATGTAAACCAACACAGGAAATATTTTCAAATGAATTCTCTGACATCACTTAAGTCTTGCAATGAATGTTGTAATAGTAATCCTTTTATATTTCAAACCTAACATAGCTTCAAGACTCAGGCATCCTGGGTGGTGGGCCTGTTCTCATACATTCAACAATAGAAAGATCGGAATCTCACACCATTTTTGACCAGTCACCTAGTAGGACTGATCAATTTGGGGTGGAGCCTTGAAAGGTTATTTATGCCTGCCTGAACTCCAGTGGTGACTATCTAACATATTGCTCTGTGTATGTGATTCCACCCCCCCACCCCCACCCCCCACGCCTCAAAACAGTTTTTTAAAAGCTTTCATTACTGGATAGTAAAGTAAAATGACAGTCCTTGAGTTGAATCCCATTTTGCACAAGGGACTGTGCATTATATTCAAGATACAGAACATGTAATGATTCTGAAATACACTCTATAGTGAAATACCAACTTCCAACCGCCTAAAACATTACTCTAAAATAGCGAACAGTCACCATTGCTTAAAAGAAAATATGGTGAAACATGAATAACAATTTATTTTTTTGCATTGACTTACTGTGAGATGTTGGAAAAGCCATGCCCTCATGATATTTGTTGCTACTTTTGGAAAAATTCCTCTTTTCTTCTGACGCTTTTTATCCTTGTCTGGGTCATCATCATCCCCTGTGCCGGGAGAGGCTACACTGTTGTCTAAACCATCTCCTAATATAAAAAATGGGATGAGAGATAATCAACAAGAAGTATAAACCAATCAGAATAATCAGATTAACTACTGAAGCACTACTGAAGTGTCTTTCATATATGACACTATCAAGCATCTTCAACTTCTTATTAATCATGATTGCTGATATAGATACATAAACATTAAATATCATGTCTACCCAGGCACTAATTTTATGCCTCACACATACACAAATCATTAATTCAATTATAATGGTGTGGTTGACACAGCGCAATACCTCTTTGACAATTATGGGATGCAATGTGGGAAAATCTACCACCAGAAAACCTATGTATTGTAAATAGATTCCTTGCAACTATGCTCCATACGTGGTGTAGGTAATCAAGTTAAATGTTCTGTGGTCTATATATTCGGGATCTTCAGCATAGGTGACAGTAAATGTGTCACTGTTCAGTGGACATAAAACACTGTCAGCTCAACCCATTCCATTTGCTATCAGCTCCTTACACAAGCATGGTGTGTATGTGCACACTTATACCTTGTATGACCCTAAACACAGTATTTGCAAGACATGAAAACTTCTGTGTCTGCATCACTGATCATTATCTTCTGTCTTTAAAAAAAGATGCACATCAAGGTAAGTTGCTTGTTTAATCAGAACTTTCCATCAACATCTTTCTCTTCAGTGCTTTTCCCTGGCATTAATTGTGCATTAGCAAAAATCATTTACTTTTAACAGTCATAGTTATTTTTTCTTGCCCTCCAGCAAAAATGCCTTGAAAGCCTGCCTGGAGGGCATCTAAATTATGTATCTGAAAAACTCTTCTGGCAAGGCATTGCAGGACCCCTACTTTCTTAAAATTCATACGAGCACGTCTTCCTGTTTTTGGGAAGGCATCAATCAAGAGCAGCAATATATGCCATATTCCTACATTAATATTTGAACTAATAACTTTTAAAAAAGGAAAGAAACAAGATCCGACTTGTGGCGTAATCAAATGCAAAATAAATGAAGAATACTGGGACAGCACTGAGACTTTATAGATTGCTGTGTTTTCCTTACACATCATTAGCCCGGAGCCACACGAAAGAGGAAAACAGAGAAGTGGAGAGTTTATGCTCCCTGCTGGTGTTTAAGAAGCCGAGGTCCTGGAAGGACATCTGGGAATTGCACTGAGACGGTGGTTTTTGTAATTTAAGAATAGACATTCATTAGCAGTAAATGCCATAAATCCCATGCTAAGTAAAAACCTTGTCCAAGAAAGCCTAAAACAATAAACTCTGTGCTCAATGTAGCCTGAGATAGACGCTCCATAGCTTCCTGAGGAATGCTATAGACCCACGAACTAATTCCTGTAGCCTCTTCTGGTTCTTTGGTGCTGCTAAAACAAACACATTACTGCTACATGGAGACTGTTTACCTCAAAACTTTAATTTCTTTTTCACCTTAATCAGTGGTGCCCACACACCTTTCCTGTGATAGCTGTTCAAAACAGCATTAAAAAAGTGGGGGGAACATCACCATCCAACCCTCTAACTAACGAAGCCAAAAAGGCAGAGCAAAGAGCTAGCAGATTAATTTTATTGACATTCCCATTTTCACTGCAATATGATACCCTCCATCACATAGAAGAGATGGTCCTCACTATTCACAGAATGACAGGCTACTTCATTACAACCACCCTGCCCCAAGGCTGAGTAGTTCTCTTCCATCTGCTGAAGGACCTGATCAGACCCCTAAGTTGATTTTTTTTTAAATGTTATTTTATTTTGACTTACCACAAATAAAAGGTAAATGAAAGGAATGGAGAGTGATCAAAGAAAAAGCCATTAGCCTACTCAGCTTATCACAAGCCAATTATTTTGAAGAAATATTATTTTGGAAGAACTCCTCCCAGGTAGCACAAACACATGCACGCATGCATGTGTGCACGCACACACTGACACACCGCACACACCCCCTTTCCACTGTGCCAAGGAACTGCTGCAAGGCAAATTTTCACAAACACTAATGGCTTTTGACTGCTCCTTGGCAACCCCTGCATTTTAACCTGGGTGTATGTGCTCTCCAAAATACAGACACTGGAGCTATCTCATCAGCTGTTCATGTGACACAGATGGAGAGTGGCTATTAGGAGCTAGGCAATGGGCCTTGGGGATCTGAGGTGCTGTACTGTAGCCGCAGGCAATTCTGAAAAGCAGTACCCAGAGATGGAGGGGCAAGAACTATTCACGCCAAAAGTGCAAGTTCGAAATCAGCCTGTTTCCCTATTGTCTAGATAAAGATATTTGTCCTCTTTGCTAAAAACTATGGATGCATGCATATAATTCATGTAGCTATAAAATCTTATTTCCTTCAGCCTGTCTCCCTTTCTCAGTCAGGCACTCAAACACTATAGAGACATGAGAAGGAACGAATAGCCCCCTGCTTCTCTCCAGGCATATGCTTCTGTACGCTCTTAGGAATATTTTGGTGATGTTTTCCATCTAAAGCATAATTTGGAGCCTTCCAAGATAATCCATTCAGTGTTTTGATTTTGACAAAAGACTAATCAAAGGGGATTATATATTTAATTCAGGTTCACCTTGCAAAGTTTGGCCAAAGTTTGCACACCCAGTAGGACTGCTCTAGTGTAAAATTCTTTCTGTAGTCACTTCAGGACAATATATTTCAGTGAGGGAAAATTACATACTAAGAGCACAATCCTACACATGTTTAGAGAGAAAAAGACCTACAACTCCCAGCACGTCCCCATCAAAATGTACAAGAAATATTGTTTAAAAAGAGGGGCACATACCTATTTCAATAAGCTCCAGCATCTCTACTTGAACTTTCCATACAACATTAAAAACTAGTTGCAGAGAAGCAAAATAAAATCTATGCTGCTGACAGTCTGAGTCAAACAATTCCAAAGTGTTTTTTGCCAGCCCTGCTGCTTTAAGACATACCAAAAGCATGACAGTAATATTATGCCTGATATTCCACTGCCTTGTGGGATATGTAGCTATTTATGCCATCTCCAACCAGTTAACTGAATTCCTACTGGGTACAATGTTATCTTTACATTGCATCTGTATTTCACCTTTCTTCCTATTGCAAAGAACCCAAAGCAACTTACAAGGTTCTCCTTCTATCTGTTTTATCCTCCAACAACAACACTGTGAGGTAGATTAGGCTGAGTTTGTGACTGACCCAGAAGTCACACAGTGGGCTTCATGCTGAGCAGCAGCAAGAATCCAAAAGGCCAGAATCCTGGACCAGCACTTGTAACCACTACACCACACTAGCTATCAAGTAAGTACAAATGTATAAATGCATATTAATGCAAGATTTCTTACAAGAAATCAGGTCTAAAAACAACCATTTTCCCTTCCTTAGTAAAAAAAAAATATTGGGAAAAAACTTAACATACAAAATTACTCTCAGAAAGAGAAACAGGAAGAGTGTGTGTGTGTTTGTGTGTGTTGGGGGAGGGAGAGAATAAATGATAATTCCTGGTAAAATCATGCAGTCGTTTATATACTGAAGTTTAGCTTTTAAAATCCACAGACCACAGGGATATTCAGGGAATAGAGTATCCAGTCCTGCAGAGGGTTTGCATCTATGTTGCTTTTAGTGTTCTCCACTCTGCATGCCCCTGCCCCCAGTGACAAGGCACAATGCTGTCAATGTTCCCCTAGACCTCAACCAGTGTGCGCTGTAGAGCATACCACTCCCTCTGGATACAATAGAACAGATGTGTTTAATGCTGTTCCTGGCAGCACCATCTCCAATTGGTTCTTCACTGTTTCCATGAACAGTATATAGCCAGGTAAACAGGCCCTTTCACAACATGCTCCCTTTCTTAAAGTCACGGACCTCAATCTTACTTGCCTTTAAGTAGGATCTCAAGGAACATCAAAAGCAGTTATAGACCAAAACAGTTGAACTATGCTACCTTCTATTGAGATTTTACAAAGTTAATGAGTTCAGACTCATTTTCTCTTTATATGCTTTTGTCTGTAACTAATAGAAGCTATAAAGTGTGTACGTTTGCACAAAAGTGCAACATACAATGTGAATGTTTACACATGTTCTTTCTGCATATACAATATTGTATCAAAGAACTGATGGACTATTAACAGCACTATTGCACTTTTGTAAAATTGTGTGTATATATTTGTAGATCATTTTCTTATGTGGGTACCAAAAAAGAAGGCACCAGCTATTCCCCAGTTAGAGTTTAGGGCTTTTTAAAAATTAGATTGTTACACAAATATTAGCAAATGGCCTATAGTAATAGCTGTTCTAGTAACTGGAATAACCGTATGTCATTTTAAAAGAAAGTAGAATTTTAAGGTTCACTATAAAAGACATAAACCTTTTATTTTTTAAAAACACAGAAATAGAAACAAACAAGGTGCAGAAAGATAAACTATAAGATTACTTCTCTGTATCATCTTAAAGAATTTTCAGTTCACAGTCATGTCATCTGACTCTCTCCACACCTGTGTGCTTAAACTCTGGTAATAACATGAGATTGCAACTGGCATATGCGGTAGTAAAGGGGCATCTCATAGAAAAGGCTACTGTAGGGTCATCAGGATAATCAACTTTATAATGGGTCTGCTAGAATACAGTTCCACATTGCCATTATAGGAATCAGTAAGTTAGTGCAACCCTATGTATGTTTAGACAAGTCCTGCAACTGTTTTAAACTACCCAGACAACTTCAGCTATTGGGCGGCACAGAGATAAATAAAACATTACAAATAGAACTCCCAGCATGTTCAAGGCAGCCATACTGGCTGGGGAATGCTTGGTGTTGCAGAACTTTTCTCTGTCTAAATATGCAAGGGATTGTGCCCTCAGCAGCCTGCTAGCTAAGCCACTACAATAAATATTTTGTGACTGTTCTCTGATGAAGAACTAATTGTTCAATATGTGTCTATACTACTTGAATGGGGAAAAATTGTCTCCAGCACCTATTAGATTTCTGTTTTTTAGTTTACCTATGGACCTCTATGAACTACATCTGTG